GCCCAGAGGCAGGCTCCCACCGCTTTCCTCCACAAGAGGCAGCAGGTACCTTCTGTTAGTTCCTCCCAATAAGGCAGGCAGCATATTATTGTCTGTTTACTTCATGCCAGAGTAAAATACTAATTTTAAAAAAGGTAAAGGAAAAAGTTTTGACCTGCATGATTAAATGCTATCCATTTTAAACATGAGAATAGGCAATGGACACTGCTATTGCCATTCCCACATCGTGAGCTTTCACTTACATAAGCAGCACATACTCCCAAAGCACGCATTGAACAGACAGGAGAAGTTTGGTAATCGCAGTTTAATTTACTTAGTTTCAGACTAGTCAAAACCATGTTTTATTGCAGTCACCCTGCCCAACTCTGGAAACGGGCATATGACATCAGATAGCACGTACACACCCCTGGCAGAAGTTTACAGAAAAAAAAAATTACGCAGAGAAGACATGGTAACTCTGTTACTTAGTAATCTGTTTAAGATAAGCCAAAATTCAGTTTCCCGACATCTTCCATGTTGTCAATTTTCCCTTGTTCCCCGCAGGCTAACTACAGGGGTTGGCAAGTACCATGAAGATAACTACTCTAAACCTTACAAGAACTTCCCATTTTGCAGGAGATTGTCAAAGCTGTGGGAAAAAGAAAAGAGCTCCAGTCTGTGCACCTAGGGTTTAATAGACAAAGCTATGAAACAGATGTGCTTGGACACACAGGAGACTTCCTGATTTCACTGGACACAAGACCAAGGCCTACAGAAGCAACAAGATGGTCAAAACGGTAATTAAAAAAAAAACAGTTGGCGTTATCTAACTAAAATGAATTCTTTAAAATCTGTTGGTTATACCTAACCAGTTCACCTGTGATGACTGCTAGACATAGAAAGAGGGAGGCAATTAGGCTTAGAATGATTTCAACTGCTGAATGTTGCCTACAGGCCTGGGCTGCCTTTTGGACCAACACTTAAAAAGATGGAGATAGAAAAGTAAGTTTGCTTATTTAACTTTCTTTGTTAACTATATAAACAGAAACAGGAACTCCATAGCTTCAGACAGATTGGCCTTTAAACCAGTACAACAAACAGAGGAAAAAGTTTACTTTTGGTTTGGAAATTTGAGTCTACTTTGCCTCTAACAAATGTTTGAAATTCCTAATAATTGCGTATACAATATTTAAGAACAAAGGGCCTGATCCTGCATCCCTCAACTCCTCAGATGGCAACAGATGCCAATACTCTTCAAGATGGCAGTTTTTCTTTTAAAAAGGTCAGTAAACAGCAACACAAAGCACAAATGTGCATGCAGCACTGCATGACAATTACAGAAAGAATTTCTAAATCTGCCAGAACTTTGGTATGTACTCAAGCTATACATACAAAGCAAAGAAGTTACCGATATCGGTGTGTCTTCAGACTGCAAATTATGTCTAATGACTTACTGTAGATGCACAGCAAATTTATCTTTTTGTGATAAATAAAGCAACTGCTGACCAGCACAGTGAGGAGAGGTATCCAAATCAAAGTGAAGGACCAAGCAAATGCAGAGGTATTCTATGCAGATTTTATTTCCTTTGCTTTAATAGCCGCTTCGATCTCTTCCATGATTGGCACTACCCCCACATAGTTATTAGTTTCAATAGCTTCTAATTTCTTCTGATAGTCAGCGGGCAAGCCATTCTGTTTTGCACCCATACAGATAACCTATAATCAGTGGGGGGAAGGTGAGGAAAAAAAGGAAGCCGTCAGTAACAGTGTTAAGAAGGAAAGATCCCTTCAAACATTTACTCATTCAATAAGAATCACTTAAGGTAAAAAGAGAATTAAGCCCAAATAATGCTTTTTGTACCTAAAGATAGCCAAAGGCTTCTGGAAGACCACTGAAGACCTTAGTAGTGTCAACAAAATTAGTCTGAACAGGTTTGTAACTACCAAGGCACATCCCTAACATTCTGAAACATGACTAAGGTGTCCAATACTGTACAATTAAGATGTTACTCTGTTACTCCATTCTTTCTTCCAGTGAGGAAGAGAACTGCTTTTTATGCCTTTAGCCAGCTTTTGTATCACTGTGATAACCAGTGTACATTATTGAACTTATTTTTAAAACTAAGCTGTTCAAATCCAAAGCACACAACAGTGAGTACCTAGACAGGTTATGGAAGTAACAGAAACAGATACTTACCTTAATGAAAAAGCAGAGATTCCTTAGAGTTTGCTATCACAGCTTTCCTTCTACATACAAAATTAACTTAAGTACGGGTGCAAGAGAAAATGGTGACAGTGAGAGGAAAAGAGGAGGCTGTAGGGGCCAAAGCTTGAAAGACACCAGGAAGCTCCCATATAGAAATGAAGAAATAGGTAAGTATGCAGATTTAAAAAGCTGACACTATTTGTAAATATTCTTCCATGCATTCAACAGCCAGGAAATTCAAGGATGAGATGTCTATAGAGGATGAACTTTGCCACAAAATGTACACAACAGTAGTAGATGGATGTCAATCACGACATCCAGATGCGCTGACCTGCACTAAACTTTTAGCTCTCCTGTCTGGTTAACTTTAAAAGCTGGGGGTAACAGGAAGAAGAGAACTAACAGCGGACCCTGACAACTGTAGTAGGGAATGTTTAACTAGATGAAGTTCCCAATATTGGAAGTCTGCTCCTACAGCATACTAGTGAGAGCTACCACAGCAGTGGACTATGCATTAACTCCCTGAAAAGCCCCAACAGGGCTTCCTGTCTTGACAGGAAGCATGAAGGCAGGGAGGAGGTTTCTGGAGTAGCAGAGTCTGCTTTCTAAGCAAGCTTTCTCTTCAGAAGTGCTGCAGCAGTGGGCCTCAGCTGTGCTCCGGGAAGCTGATGCACAGGAGCCAGTTCCTCAGTTACGCGGAGGTGGCATACTTGGGGTTAAACAAGCTTAAGCCCCGTTCTCTTTGCCTTTGGTAGAAAGTCAGGGTGTTACAGCCATGTCTATCTGTAAGTGCAGCTAGTAGCTGCACAATTCCAGACATGAAGTCATGCCACCTGGGGCCAGGCCTGCATCAGATCTCACAGGCTAAGCAGGTCGGGCCTGCTGCGTGACTGGATCACGTGTCTCTACAGAGCCAGGGCGTTGCAGGACAGTGCTGAAACACTTCTGCCTCACCAGCCATCGAGTGGGAACCCTGCAGCACTCTGCAATGTTGTCAAAAGTCCTGTGACATACTGGTGATGCATCTGGTAAAAGGTGGACTCCTATATTAAATGATAGTAAGATACTTCATAAGACAATAGGGATAATCCACATCCCTCAGACTACAAGCCAAGTGCTGTATCTACACACAGGAGATTGCCTCTATCCTTTCAGTGGAGTACATGAATTTTTCAAACAAGACAGTTGCTGCATATATGTAAACAACATCCTTCAGAAATCCTTGTGTCAGTGATAACGAATTCATGAGTCAAGTGGAGGCTTCATGTAAGGCATAACTAAGCCAAGAAATAAAACTGATTTAGTAGGTCTTTAAGAGCTGCTAATCTTCTGCAAGCATCATTACACTATTACATCACACAAGGAATGAGTTATACCTTCAGAGTTACTCATGTCTTCCATCCACTGTAAATAAAGTACTTATTAAATGGGACAGAAGTACTGCATTATATACTTCTGCTCATTCTCTATAAAATTACAGTGATACAACACCTACCTTTTTATACTGAGGAGAAGGGGGACCACAGACATAGTGCTTCATCTGGTAGCTTCGACAGGTCAGTACATTTCCTCCTTGAGTGTGGACATCAACTTCTATGGGGACGTAAATGCCATCGTCAACCCCCTCTTGCCTGTAAAGGACATGTGTTCCTTTCATGCCAAGTAACCCATGTGTCTTTCAAACAAACTGCAGTTAAACATGCACATTTATTATAAGAGAGTTCAAGGTAGGACAGTTGTCTGCACTATTAACAGACTTAAAGGAAAGCAAAGCAAAACATTCTAGAACTTTTTTTGTGCAAGACTGTTTCACATCCAGAAATAAGTTTCTAAAGCAGCAGCACCATTCTGTTTTATCATTTCAGCTCTGTAAGAAAGATGCCTAGTGGTTAACTTGAAAAGTTAGAGAAAACACTCCTTGTGATCTACTGTGCAAGCCTGGTAATCTACAGAAGCACAACCGAGACTATCAGAACGAATCCATCAGGCACATATCATTCATTACCTTCTGCTCGGGTAATGAAACAATTGCAAAGTTTTATCTTGTCCATTGTGCTGCATTTGAAGAGGGGATAACTCACACAATTCTTGCAATGCACATTGCAATTAATAATTTGAGATACCCTTTAATTTGCACAAGACCCATAAAGTAACAATGGGCTAGAGCAAAAATCTTGGTGTGTTTTTTTGGTTTTTTTTTGTTTTTTTTTTTTTTTTACTTGATACACGTGCTGCCTTAGGAAAACCAAACCAAACTCAAAACCAAGACCACTTGTTGTCTTTAACCATTAGCATTTAGCCACTAATAAAAATCTGATGAAACAGTAAGAAGTAAACAAGAAACTTAAGCAGTACAAGACAGACTTTACAGCACAGTTAACTTTAGATGTCCTTTAGCTGTGAGTGATAACAAGGGGTTTAATGCTGCTCAAAATATTTTGACAACTTATCTTTCTTTCCAAGACTTACTACTGTTTTTATGTATGTAATGCAGGGCATGTTATGCAAGAAACTATGTTAAGTGCAAGTAAACAGAGACTGGAAGCTAACTGCAGATTCAAAGCCAACAGACTGCAAAGTAAGTCACGTGGGTGTGTGTGAGAGCAAGAAAACCGTTACAGTTCAGTAACATCCACCACTAGGGTATGTGAGAGAATGTCATTATTTAGACTGTAACTTACAGATTTGAGAAGTACAGAGGACAAAAAAAAAATCTGACCATGAGACAGCACCAAAATACATTTGAAGACAATGTTCAGCTGTCTAAGCAGAAGATTCTCCTCCCATATTTTTTTCCTATATATTATGTTGTTTTACTAGCATTTCAACTAATGACATGCAGTTTCAGTGACACATTCCCTCCTCTGCTTCTAGTTAAAGTACAGACTTCTTTATCCAGACTTGGTGTGTGGGGTGGAAGCAGGGTGTGTGCTGGCGTGGTTGCAGACAAATAGTGCATTTTTTTTTCTTGATACACGGAGTTCCAGGATATAACTTGGTGGAGATCTTACAAATATATCTGTTTGAGCACAGCCAAAGAATACCAAGATTTTCAGCAGAAACACATGCATGCTCTTTTGAGTTCGTTAAGCGCAATCCTTAGAAGCACACTGTTGTTATAAAGCCAAGAACACATTCTGCGTCCTTCCATTTCCAGACCACCTTCATGGCATCAGTGGGGCAGCTGGGAAAAACCAATCTTAAATGCTTGCATCCATCCTGTGGGTTTTGGTGCTGGTATAGCACTCAGGTGTCTAGCATCTTAGCCAGTGTTAGCTTAGCCCACGTCAACAAATGCCAAGCGTCTGCAATTCTACAGCAGGTAAACAATACTTCTAGAAGTTAAAATACAAAAGGCTGTCCCCATAGGAGGAACACTGTCTCTATCAAAGCAGATGCTGCTAGACAGCATCTTTACACTGCTGAAGTTTGTGCTTTTGGAAAGCATGGTAAGTCAGGAGATTTCAGTATATGTCAGCAGAAAAGGGGAAAGAGAACTGTATCAATAATGCCTACAATAGGTTGAATATGCCCTGCTTCCTTAGCCTCACCAGCAGACATTTCTGCTGGTATTCACTGAGAGTGATGAACTGCTCTAAACAAACCATCCTTGTGTACAGAAGCACCATGCTGCACAGGCACACCCCAAAAGCTGCAATAACTACAAAAACCACACTAGCTCCCTGCTTGGTTCTGCCTCAAGTTCATGGAAATTTGAACCCTTAGAAGAGAAGTCATGCAAAATAACCTCCTCAAAAAGGTCCCTTTGCTCATGTTAAAGATCTCCTCTTCTGCAAAATCCTGTCCTCATCCCTTCCTTTTCCACTGCAATTGTTATCTACAGATTATACAGAAATTGATGTCAGGCTCAAAGGAAACTCTCCCTAAAGCAATGGAAATCGTGTCATAGGGCAAATACAAAGTTTAGACTAAGGGACAGGAGACGTTAGTAAATAAAAGGGAGCCTGACTAATACATCAGCTCTAAATCAAGTTTTGCACCTTATTAAAATACCCTTAAGTAGCATTACCTTGAAAACAAACACATTTTAATCACAAATGTGTTAGAAGTCTATACACGTACCATGAAGTGAAATTTACATATTAAAATCCAAAGCACCTTCTTGATTCCAACACCAAAGCTTCCACACAAGCTCTTTACCAAAAATTAACTATTAGGTTTCAATTGCTCTCTAAAATAGTAGAAGACAGCAGCAGTTAAGTCACCTACTTATCCAGTGAACTTAAATTGCTAGCGTTCATTTTCCACACTATTCCCCATACTTCGTCTCCAGGGCTGTGAACAATGGTAGCTGTACCTCCATGCCAGACAGAACTTGTCCTGCCTTGATGATGGCCAAACTCGAGCTTAAAGTCCTGCAAATGAAACCAAGGCAAAGAGTCAATTTCCACTTAAGGTAAGGGCTGTTGGCTATTCTGATCCAGCTCCTATCTGTTGAGGGGCTGCAGTCAGTCTTTTCCACCTCCCCATGAGAAACAGCAGCCTCGGGACAACAGGAAAAGAGGCCTGGCAGAAAACACTACTGATAAAAGTCTTGGTCTGCAAAGATCTGGATCAACATCTAAGCCTTTTAGTAGTCTGGCTTAAACATTAGCTAACTAACAATTTCTAGCAGTGAGAAGAAAGTGGAAGTACCCCTTTTTGAAGAGTAGCACAGATACCAAATTCTGCAGTAAACACAGTAGTGCTGAAGAAATGTTATCTTGGCTTTTGTCCAGGCTGGCAGTGACAATATTGCCAATGTGCTTCCTGTTAAGGCACTCTGAATGGTCCTCAGCTGAGCTGTGCCGTGAAGGAGGGAACCAACTACAATGGTCTTCCCATTCTTCAGAAGAGATGCCTACTTGGTGACCACTCCTTTGCAGCTGTGGGTGCTGTGTAAGACTTAAATGCTACCACGCAGGGTTCAGGAAAGTAGTAAGGGTAAAGAAGCCTATGAAATGGTGACCTTTGGGTCTTGTCCTCATGCACTAATAGAACTGCCCAATTATGAAATACCATCCTGTGCATTTGTGCCATCTCATCACTCAACTGCAACATTCTTGGCAATTTTTAAGTCAAGGCATATGCCTCCTTGAGTGAGCTTATTCAAGTTTTTGCAAGTGAAACTTTCTTTTAGAAGTCACGTATCTCTTTTTCTTACAAATAATATCAAATATAACTATACTGGCAGTAGAGAATAATGGCTTCTTGCATTTTTTTCTAGTGTAATGTCCCATCTGACTCCATACACTCAGTTTCCTCTCCTACTTAATAGTCAATTTGTAGATCCTTCCCTAATAGGAGCAAAGGGGAAAAAAGAAAAAAAAAAATCCAACCAGCCAGACTTTTAAGGAAGACTACCTGGTTAACCACAACAACAAAATCTGGCAAAGGCAAAAAGGAGTAAAGACAACAACAAAAATAACCCCCAAACATACACCACCCTACAGTTTACTTATTGCTCATGATCACTCTCTTTTCAGATACAAGATGATTTTGATTTGAAATGTGTACACACAAATGCACACATTACCTTCTTACAGTAATGCCCTAACAGATATGGGGGAAAGGTTGCAAAAGTTGAGCACCTGGAGGTTTGCACACAGAGAGAGAACAGCACTCATCAGATTTTTGTGTGTATGATAATCAGCTGCCTGGCAAAACCATAATGTTTACTCCACCGATAGAGTCATCTTCCTTCCACATAAAATGTCCCCCATTAAACTCATATCACTAGAAAATAGTTTACTCACACATCAGCTATTTAATAAGCTGCTGCTTGTTCCTGTCCCCGGATTACTGTGTGAGGAAGATTCTGGACTAGACCCTGCAGACAGTCAAGCTTGAGTAATTTGTACACAACTAAATAGTCCAGTCAAGTCACAGAGTGAAGTTACAGATGGGGACAAGTGCCAAGGAAAGACTGCAGTAGAGCCAAGCATGCCCACAGCAGTCTAGTTTAAGGAAAAACAAAAAGCACCAGTTTCTTTTTTCCCCTTATGGTTATATTTTCTTGGACCTGACTTGCACTGAGTAACTGCAAGGAGGTGTATAAAACTGTCAGGTACTAGCCATCAAGAGCAACAGAGCCTGTAAAGAAGTAGCAGTTAGCTCTGGTTCTGGGAGCAGGAAGCCCCACATTACACCACGCAGGTACTTGCAGCACCCGCTGCAGGGAAGAGGGAAGAAACACACCTCCTTGGGTCAAGAGCTTGGTCTTCAGCCCTTCTAAACACCAGTGTAATACCCTTTTCTGTGCCTGCTACACATCCCACTTCTTACAGCTTTTGACTGAAGATTAGCAAGGCTTAAAAAAAACCAGGGAAGCAAATTCAATATTCCTAGTTTAGCATCCAGACTACTCAGTTTGTAACCTGTTTTTCCCTTTTTTTAAGGCAACTTTGTACTACCATAAAGCCACTAGCAGAAATCAGCGTCAGCCTCTGGGCACCCTCCCTCCCAAGCATCACTGACATTCCACCTGGGAGCAAGGGAGCGCAGCCTGTCGCTGCAGGGAGCACAACAGAGGGGAGAAGGCTGGCTGGAAAAGCCAGCACCTGCCTGCCGGCTCTGGAACCTGAAAAACTACCTGAACATAGAAGGAAAGCTGAAGTAGAGGGCTTTATTTATTCAACGGTAAGTGCACAATATTGCTGCTTTCCTCCTCACTAAAAGTCTGATGCTGCAAGGTGCTTGGCTCATAGCATGTTCAGCTCCTCGGCGCTTGTAAGCGCATCACAATCGACAGGAGCAGGTCTCAGTTGCCAGGCTGACAGCCCCAAGGGACACCAAATATGTGACTATATAGCATTTATTAATGACAAGTTTTTGGAACTGCTTCATACACTCTAATGTAAATAATTTCCTGCCAGTTACCCCAAGAGAACCTTCAGGTGATCTTTAAGTGGTATCAGCCGATGCTCTGATCCTCTGAGCCTGTACACCGACAGCTTAATGACCATGAGCTCGTATTTCCCAGTCTGCATGACAGCCAAGTTGATACGGTAGCCTTTAATAACCCCAGGCAGGGGGAGAACTGCCCGAGCATAGAAAGGTGTCAGCTGCAGTAGTGCAGTGCCAATGAAGGTGTGCCTCCCTCCTGGGGTGGGCTCCTCACTTCTAACCAGCATGGCAGAGGGGAAGAAGGAATTCTGATTTGTTCTAAGGAAGCAGCCTTTTAAAACTACCAGAAACTTGCCCCATAAAGCCAACTGCGTATCTGCCACTTAAACTTTCGGATTCACAACCTTCCGTGCGGGGCCTTGGCTGGCGGCCTCACAGGCCTGGCTAAGCCCAGTGAGGCG